TTTTTTTTTTTTTTTTTTTTTGGTACTGGGGATTGAACTTGGGTCCTTATGCCTTACTAGGCAGGCAGCAGAACCACTGAGCTAAATCCCTGGCCGCCTGTGGGCCATTTAAAAAAAGATAATTGCCTTTTATTTTGCAACTAAAGAATGAGATATAATTCACATACCATAAAATTCACCCCTTTAAAGTATTTTATTGAGTGGTTTTTTGTGTATCCAGAAAGTTATACAGCCAGGACCACTAATTGCAGAACATTTTCAGTATCTCCCAAAGAAGATACACTCAGTAGTAGTCTTCGCCAGTCCCCAGAAACCAATCTGCTTTCTGTCTCTGGAAATTTGTCTAATGTCAGTGTTCCCTATAAATGGACTCGTTTATGTTTGGCTTCTTTCACTTAGCATAATATCTTTAACGGCCACATTGTTGCAAATACAGTACTTTGTTCTTTTTCATGGTTGGATAATGTTCCCTTGGATGGATATACCACATCCTCTACTCACCAGTGGATGGATCTCGGGGTTATCTCTGCTTTTTGGCTCATAGGAATAACACTGTCCTGATCATTTGTTTACAGGATTTTGTGCGGACGTCTGTGTTCACATCTCTTGGGTAACCGAGGAGTAGAGTGGCTGGATCCTATGTTAACTATTTAACTTGTTGAAGGATCTGCCGGACTGTTTTCCATTTTCACATTCCCACCAGCGGTGTGCAGGGCCTCCCATTTCTCCTCACCCCCAGCAGCCATCCTTCTGGGTCTGAAAGTGGAATTTCATTCTGGTTTATCGACGCTTCTCCAAAGAAAATTGGTGAGATGATTACATATTGATAAGGACGACTGCATGAACTGTGTTTGGTGTTTTTCACATACATGTAACTGAAAAACATTTTACAAGAAAAACCAATTGCCTTGGCTTTCCCCTCTGTGCCCTGAAAGGTATTAGAATGGCTTTGCAAATGTGCCTGGAATAGAGAAGGTGGTTTGGAAATTTCTGTTGCATACAGTAGGAGAAAGGGAGCCCATCTGTCTGGCACTCATATCCTGGACCCGTGAAGGAGGCCGGCCGCGCTAGGCTTGCCGAGCTCCCAGCCTGGGAGGGTGTGGGCACAGGGAGCCGCACCCCAAGTAAACGAAATTCGTCCGATCTGCCGCTGCCGCTGTCTGTCGCCAGTGTCGGTGTTGTCGCAGCCTGGGGTCTTGGGGAAGGGTGGCTGAGCCGGCGATAGGACACCCGCGCGTGCCAGTCTGCAGGGCCTGTCCTGGGGGCAGCATCCGCTCGGGGTTGATTCTTGGGGACTCGGTGCTGGAAGACCCTGCATGTATCCTCAGCTCGCGATGCGGGCTGGAGAGACCCTCGCCAGCGGCCGTCTACTCGGGTGCAGGAGGAGGAGGAGCCCTGGGGCGGTGCAAGCCTACCTAGTCTTCCCTGGAATCCCGGGCCGCGAGGGTCCCTGCCTGGCTGCGGCCGCTGGGGGGCGCCGCAACACCGCATTGGCGCCGGCTCCAGCTCTGTAGTTTCCTCCTCGGCCCCGCCCCTGAGTTTAGAAAGCCGGATTAGTACAGAGTCAGCCAGACTAAGGCGCACGGTTATTTATTTCCTCCCCGCCTGGGGTAAATCTGCTTTTTCTTTTTCTTTATTTTCTTACCGATCCTGGAGTTTGAACCCAGGACCTTTCATTGAGCTATAGCTCCGGCCCTTTTTTATTTTGGTACAGGGTCTTGCTAAGTCGCTAAATTGCCCAGGCTGGGCTCCCAAGTGCGATCCTCCTGCCTCAGCCTTCCTAATGCTGAGATTACAGATGTGCCCCACCACACCTGGCTCTAAACCTGAAATGGTTGAGCAGGCAGCTGGATGGTTGGATCTGGCAGCACCTGCCAGTGCCTGTGGTGCAGGTGAGGTCACTGCCCACCCACCTAGCAGCTCCGGGGCACATTGCCAAACCTGGGTCCCAGCTGCCAGCCACGAGGGGCGCAGACCCGAGGCCTCCTTACCTGTGCTCTAGGGTGGCCCCCAGGACTGAAGGCCCCTGCTGTCCTTCATATCCTTCCGCGACAGGGCTGTTGTCCTTGGTTCCCGGATGCTCACAGTGCCCTGTCAGGATGTCCAGGGGTGCTGGGTGTGGTGGTACACACCTGTAATCCACCACTCTGAGAGGTTGAGGCAGGAGAATTGCAAGTTAGAGCCTAGTCTGGGCAACTTTGCAACTTGGAGAGACCCTTTCTCAAAACACATTTTATAAAAGCGACTGGGAATGTAGCTCAGTGCAAAGGCCTGGGGTTCCATCTGCAGGGGAGGGGTGCAGTGACCAAGGGCAGTATCACTTCCCACCCCTAGAAGCAGCTTTGTCCCAGTTCCACAGCTGAGCTAGGTAGGACCCTTTGGCTGGCAGATGCCTGCTGTTAACCTAATGTGTTCTAAGTGAAAGCTGTTTGTTTTACTTATTGGGGTGATTACTGTAAGCAGCTGTATTGGACAGCTCTGCTTGCAGGATGAAGAGTCTCTCTCCTTACTCAAGCCCCAGGCCCTTTCCTCATCCCCTCCCGGTCTCCCTCCCCAGCGCTGAGGGGGACACAGCCCTCACATCTGTTCATTGCCCTCCCTGCTGCTGGCAGCATCTACCCTGGGCCTACCGAGGACCCAGGACGGGGCCTGTGGCTTGGAGCCAGGGAGCTGGGTTCAAATCCACTTTGTGACATTGGGGAACAGTGTGGCCCCGGGTGGAACCTTCCTGAGCCTCCATCCTCTCACCCAAGACCTTACAAGGTGGCTGTGAGATAAGGATTGGGTGGCCTGGACCCAGCAGGCGAGCAGTGGTTAGCAAGTGGTCGCTGCTATTAGCAGTGCTCAAACTGTGCACTGGGAGCAGGAGCCGTTTCCTGGCGCTCTGGGAGGCACATGCTTGTTGGTTCAGTCAGAGGGTGGTGCAGCTAGCCTGCAGCACAGCACTCTGCCCGGTTCGTTTTCGGGCATCCTCGTATCCTTTTGAGTCCTCTACAGTCCCCCATACTCCAGCGTCCCCTCCCTCCCTCCCTCCCTCCTTACCCCTTCCCTTCCTCCTTCCACCTGGCAGTAGATGGGTAGCTGCATGCTTGCCACATGGTGCTTGCTGGGAGGTACAGGGGATGTTTTGCTGACCTTTTTTTTAGGAGATCTTTTCCTTCCCTATTATTTGAGAACTTGGTGCAAAGGGGAAGATACTCTCTTTAGCCAACTTCCTCCTATATCCTGAGAATCTTTAGGGTACTTCTGTGGTATTACAGTTTAGATAAAAAATGTTTCCCAAATGATTCATGTGCTCAGAGGTGAACCTTTGGAAAGGTGAGCTTACCTCATCAGTGGACTGATCCATTGATGAGTTCATAGATGAATGTGCTGTTAGGAGGTGGGGCCTGGTTGGAGCATGGATGGGGGGTCACTGGGGGCATGACCTCGAAGGGTTTATGCTTGTTTTTTTTGGTACCAGGGATCAAACTTGGGACCTTGTGCTTGCAAAGCAGGCAGTGGAACCACTGAGCTAAATCCTCTCTCTCCTCCCTCCTTCCCTCCCTCCTTCCCTCCCTCCTTCCCCCTTCCTTCCCTCCTTCCTTCCTTCCTGCCGTGGCCTTCCTTTCCCTTGCCATTGCACCATTTGCCCTCCAGGAGATGAACATCGTGTCTCATTTGATGTTGCACGCATGCTTTTTCCTGCTGGAAGGAAGAATCTCAATCTTCTTGTATTTGACGGAGGTGTTGAGAAAAGGGCTTGCTATGTTGTCCACGCTGGCTTTGAACTCACTGTAGCCCAGGCTGATCTCAAACTTGAAACCATTCTCCTGCCTCAGCCTCCTGAATGTTGGGGTTACAGGCCTGTGCCACCACACCTGGCTTCTCAATCTTCATCTTCCCTTCTGCGCAGAGGGCACAGCTCTGCACATGCTCAGCGGCTGTCTTGTCAGGGCAGAATAACGAGTCTGTCTGCTCGGTGGTATTTGTTCCTCCTGGGTCCTTGGGAAATGGAGCATTCTCTGTGAATGCTCTGCAGTTTCTGGGAAGTGTCAACTCAGACTTGTTTATAGTAAATGATGAACATGTTTGATGTTTTGTTTCTCCTTGGTGTTTTTTGTTTTCTTGGTGTGATCGCACACCTTTTCTCTGGGGATTAGCCAAGTGTAAACCATGAGTGATTTTTTTTTTTTAAATTGAGTTCATTGGTACTTTTTAGTAAACTGTGAGTGATTTAAAAGACCAAGCCAGAGCCAGGCATGTTGGTGCATGCTTATAACCGCAGGATCCTGGGAGGCCAAGGCAGGAGGATCACAGGTTCATGCCCAACCTGGGCAGTTTAGCAATTTAGTGACATCTTGTCTCCAAATAAAAATAAAAAAGGGCAGGGGGTAAGGCTCAGTGTGAAGGCCCTGAGTTCAGACTCCAGGACCACAAAAAACCAACCAAACAATGACAGGCCACTGGGGACACTCCTACCCCAGATAGACCCGGATCCTCCCAGAGCTTGTTCCTGTGCCAGCTCCTGCCCCGACCTCTGTGGCTCCTAGAGTACCAGGTGTGGTGAGGTGGCCCTGCTTCTGCCCTGTGTCCCCTTGGGACTCTGGGGGCGCTTCACTGGCCCACAGGTGCACAGATGGATTACTCACCCACTGAAAAACCTGTACAGGGTCAGGCTTGGTTATGGTTGGCCCAGGGTACCCCAGGCCCTGCTGTCTGGAGTCAGGGTGAGCATGGGGTACAGCCTGCTTGTGAGGAGACACTATCTGGGTGCCGGGGGACTTTGAGGATGTCTGTTCCCTAGAGATTGGTAGGAAATGCCTGCCTGTCTTAGAGATGAGGAACTGAGGCTGCTGTCCCTTGTGCCTGGCAGGAGTCAGGAGCAGAGATGGGCTGAGGGGAGCTGGGGACAAGGGTCCGCCTGGCCAGCGGGGTGCCTGGACACAACTGCAGTGCCCGCCCCCATTCAGAAGTGCCTCATCCCTCAATATTCCTGGGCTGCGTCACACCTCGGGGGCTTTGCTCATCCGGGGAAGCCCTGGAACACCTGTCCCCACCCCTTTTCCTGTAGCTCTCTCTGTCCTCAGGATGTCCCCCTGGAAGAGGCGGGCAGAGGGTGCACAGCCAGGCCTGGTGGCTGTTCGGAGTTGAGCCCCGATTGGAGCCGAGGCCCTCTGACTCTCGAGTGCTGTGACAGATATCTGTTTCGGTGGTCGTTTAGCCTTGTCCCTCTGAAGCAGGGGGTGCTTCTCACCAGAGTGGCTCCCATGGTGCCCCAAGGCCGCTGCTTGTGAAGAGCAGTGGAGCCCAGAGCCTGCTTCACCCCACTGTACCCTGCGGTCGTGAGGGATCTAGGGCACAGGTGCCTTATGAAAATCTAATCCTGGGAACCCCCCAAAGGCTGTCCGTGGAAAATTGTCTCCCCTGAAAACGGTCCCCTGAGCCAAAAGGCTGGAGAATGTTGCTTTAGGCTCACAGAGCAGTGTCGACTCTAACCAGAAGCAGGAGCCACTGGAGTTATTTATTTATTTATTACTTATTTTTTTGAGACAGGGTCTCACTGTGTAGCCCAGGCTGGCCTTGAACTTACAGCAAGCCTACTGCCGGGCCTCCTGGGTGCTGGGATTACCAGCCCCCATTTCCAGCTTTTGGAGTTATTTATTGACTACACTCTCTCAGAGATTAGGAAGACTTTTAACAGTGAATGCGCAATGAAAATATTTCTCTTACTTAAGGCAGAAGCTCTATTTTAAGCCAGTTGGCTTTGGGAAATGAAATCTGACTGTGCCTTTTAACCTCCCGATTTCTGGAACTGTTGGCTGCTGAGCCCTCTGCTGTGACCTGTGTGGCATCTGAACTTGATTTATGGGACTTTTGGGCACTCGCAGTAGCCTGGACATAGGAGAGGGAGAGGGAGGCTCACTGGCTCCGGAGTGTCCAGCTCTGAGGATGCAGCCTGTGCCCCCCCCGGGGGGGGTGCTGTGAGAACGAGGGGAGAAGCTGCCTGGCAAGAAGTGGGGCAGGGAGCCCTCCTGACCTGCTGCATCCCATCGCCGACCATCTCCATTTCCCCCGAGCCCCGGCGTGTGCACCCTGATCGTGGGGTGGCTGGGGAAATCTGGCCTCTGCCCAGTTCACTTGTAGGGGACCCACACCTAGGTGTGCTTGTGCTGCCATACTGTTACAGGCCTCCCCCTCCCCTC